GTATNTTAGCACCTCATGATCACATGCCGGGCTTTTCACCTGCCGAGAGAATTTACATCTGTTTACAGATTACAGCAGTATATTCCGCCACTCGTCGACAACAACACGGCACTCAATCAGCGTTGTTGTCGACGAGTGGCGGAATATACTGCTGTAATCTGTAAACAGATGTAAATTCTCTCGGCAGGTGAAAAGCCCGGCATGTGATCATGAGGTGCTAAATAAGCGGAACAGTCCGAAAGAAATAATCCTCATATCTGTGCACCAGTTATTATTAATCATGATGCACACACCACCTCCTTTACTTTTCCCAGAGTTAACTGTCCGGTCCTGGCGAAAAATAGGACTTGTTTGTGTAAAGAGTAGGATGCTCTTAATCTGATATAATTTTGCAACATCATTGATGGATGGCTTCCTAGACTAACTTCCTAAAATGTTGTAGCCATGTTTGAGTAATGTTTATCTCATAGCAGACTGTATATGTAACAACATCTTCCATGCGGCAGGCACCGTGTGGTGTATCCAGTGCCCGGCAGCTGGTCAGCCATGCTCTGCTGCGATGGCGTCAACGCATGCTGCGTGCTGACAACACCAGCGCAATCGTGATCACCCTGCAGGACCCCGGGAGCTCCCAAGACACACTGCACCATGAGGAGGTGCTGCTTGACCTGGCCAAGGTATCCCAGTGTCCTCCCACCTCCATGTCCCGCGCTGGCACTCCTCTCCTTCAGGTAAGCAGGGTTTTACATTTTTGTGATAAATAAATTATCCCGAATTAAAACATTGATGACAAAGAACCCGAAACGTTTTCATAGCACAGTATGTGATATTGAGACATTATAGAGTGGAACAACGATCATTTAAATTTTTTGAACGTAAAAATATTTTTAAGCTTGTTAACCAAAGGCCTTATATATTTTGGCATCAAACCAACCAAGGGAACCGGAATTAATGATTATTCACGGTTATAGGACTCATTCTTGCACCACTTTATTGGCAAGATAAATTACTGAAACGCTGTCAAAATGTAATTACAAGTTTTAAACACAGTATCATGGCTAAGTGTACAAAGGTTCTCGAGTAATAATACACCTCAGTCAGCTCGTGTCACTGCAATTTTTTTGTCGGGAATTAATCAAAAGTAAGAAGGTGAATTATCCACTTTTATGAGCTATGTAGGTAATCATTAATGTTATTTTTACCCTGCAGCGACCTCTAAAGGAAGACACTCCCTCTGCCATGTGTGAGCTCCTCCCTACTTTGGAGCGACAGGACGGACTCTCAGGAAGCAACAGCCTGTATCTCATGAATGTGTCGGGCCCAAGCACCCTCGATCCACTCTGTCCAAAAAGTAGTTCTGAGGTTCCCAGTCCCACTGACAGGACAGTTGGCGGCAGGACCCTCAACAGAAAAAGAGTTCTTCAACGATCATCATCATCAAGCCCGTCGGCTAAGAAGGCCCGGCGCAGGACTGCCAAAAGGCTGCCTTTGGTGCAGCACAACGCAGAGAAAAAACAGAAAGAGTCCAGTAATAGCCGCGTTCACACCGCAGTACTTTTCCCACTTTAGTTCCGATATAGTTCCGAAATTTCGCGTTCACACCAAAAAGAGCCGGAACTAAAATGAGTTCATCAGAATCTTTTTTACCCTCTTTACTTTCGTGGGAGAAAAAGGTTCCTATGTCTGATTGGCTGGGCGGATTGCAAACCCACCCCGTAAAACTCAAAAAAAGTTTTGTGAAGCCGCCATTTTATTATCCTCGCATTAGCATTATTAGCATTAGCATTATCCCAGCGCACAAACCCAGAGAGACTAACTTATGGCAACACAAAAGAAAACATGGGAGATGAGGAGGTGTCAGTGTTCTGGCGATTTACTCGGCGATTTACTTACTTTACAGTCCCCAACTCCGGGGACTTCCGGCCGGGGACTTCGGGTGGCAGTATACGCCGTGAAGTTGTTTGTGGCCTGCCAGTAAACCCAAAGCAGAAGAAGAAGACGTGCCGTCAGCGGCTTCATTTGCCTAATCCTTCCCCAGGAACTTATTCTGGTGTGAACGCGATCTGCGTTCATGAGAACTAAAGAGTTCTCATGAACTAAGTTCTCATGAACCTTTGTGGGAAAAGTACTGCGGTGTGAATGCGCCTATTGTCTCACCAATTCTCCAGCAGCATAACCAGACCACAGTGTGTGTGTGCTAAAACAGACCGCAGAATTACACATAAACCTGCTGCCTCTCACTGATAACCTTGTCTCAGTGGCATTTCTGTTTCTAATGTTTCTCAAAGTGCAAACAAAGCCTTGCTATAGAGGTTGTGGTAAGACTGGTTCAGCCCTAGTACAATACCTTAAGCTTAATGTGAGCGCATTTTCACAAGACATTTGGTGTGTTTTTATAAAAAACTTCTTCCTGGAAGAGAAGAAAAAAAGTATGAAGAATAATGATGCTGGTGTGAACACATTGCATGTTATAGTTGAGTGTTGCCTAAGTCAAGCTTTTCATTTAAAGCAAATATATATTTTTTATACGTGCTTTTATCGTTGGATGATATAAGAGCTAAACCTCATCTTCCAACTCCTTGACACTCTGTCCAAATGCCATTGTGTGCACACCCTGTGTTAAAAGATAATTATGTATGTTACTTCTCATTATTTTATGTAATCACTGGAGATGAATCTTGAATATAAACAGAAGGTGCTTCTACAGTCACAAACCAGTAAGCTACTACATTCTGTATATTGATCTATACATATATGTAATAGGTGTTAGTCGCATTTTTTCTTCCTTTAGTGTATGTATTTGACTCATCTTGCCTTGAGGTTTTAAAAAAACTGAAGGTTTTTTTAGGTTATTGATTGCACAATGCATCTTAATGGATCGATCCACACTTAATCATAATAATGAATTTGTTATGAATTATTGCAATTTGTTTTTTTTTATGTCATCACATCCCCTGAGCCAGCTTCAACCGTTCATACATCAAATAGAGATTTTCTATGTTTCCAAGAATGCCTATACAGAAATTGGTGTTTCTGGTTAATTGCTTTCTCATCCTGGTGTCTCTATAACAAAAATGTCCTTTGCTACTGAGGGACCAACACAACCAGATGTTTACAATAATAATTCATTATTCATTTGTGCTGCCAGAATTCTATTGACGCAGCAATATGGATGGATGTATGCCCCAATAGTAAGAAATGCTCAATTTTAAGCGTATTTGTCCCGACAGATCACTTTGTCACATGATGTTTTAAAAGAGGCTGACTGAGGTTTCTTTAGCATTCAAGCCATTGTACATTCAAGCCATTGTCCCTCTCCCATGTAGCAGCTTCAGTTGTATGGTTACTGACGTATGCACAAGGCTCATTTTTGAATACACAATGCATGGACTTTCTAATAGAATATTCTTGCACTATTATTGTGACTTGATTTCCTTGAGAAGAGTGTTTTTTTTTTTCTATCTCTAAAATGGATGGAATAGGAATGGACAAGGATCTAATATTATAACACAGCAAATGTGGTATATTTGATGTAAAATAATCGAACATTCTTGACTTGTTAGAAAGGAATTCTCATTAATGTGAGTTTGCAGACACCGGCAGTGCCCTTTGTTTGATTCTAATGGTTTTCTTAAAGAATAAAAAGACTCATGAGAAATATTCACTGTGAGAGAAAAATGACTATGACAGAAATAAGACTTACATGATCATGTTTTTTGATTTAGCTTCGTACAATTTCTTCCACGAATTTTTAGCACTATGGATTGGTTGAAACCAGCGCCCTATGGATCTGGTTGAAACATGTTTCATAAGGAATGATGACGTTTCCTCTGCATATAGTCTGTTACTTTTCATCCTTGTATGAATAATGTTTTTTTTAGATTTCTAATGAATCTAAGTTTTCTGATTTACCATGTAGAATAATGACATCCCTGATTCAGATGGTTGTGCTTGTGTACAGTGTAAATGTGAAAAACACTAGAAATTAATTTAAATAAAAAATAAGTGAAGTGTGTCCTTCTTGTCAGATTGGAACCCATACCGCTTCAGTAAGGACTCGGAATTCCATGTTTTTTTTATACTATATAGACAATGCTAAACATGCATGAAACTATCAATTATGATAAAGTCTGCTGAAAACACTGGACTTGCCCGGGCCACACGCGGATGTTTACTGACGAAACTTCCGTTGTGCTCAAACGTCAAGTGACCAGCAAGCCAGACTAAGGCCTTCAAACTAAAAGCATAACAAACGCCACTTATCACAAGTAGATAACATTAACAACAGTTTGAAAACCTTCTCAATGGAGAATATCTGTTACAAAGTTTTCTAAGATAGAAAATACAAAAAAAATGCTTCTACTTCCAACACACTTATTCGTGTTTTTTAATACATACTTTATTTTGAAAGTATCAGTAGGAAGACAGCCTGGTTAACTTCCTTTCAACTGAAATGTGATTTCTCAGAGCGGGAAGAATCATGGGGAGGGTTGAGTAGACTTAAACAGGTTGTTTTAGCCAGAATGATTTCTCATACAGTCATGGCGTTGTTGACAGCACTAGTTAAGGGTTTAACCATTTTCTATGTATACCAGTAACTCTAATAAATCAAAGTAACGGTGCAAAACTTAGCATTAACCCTGGCATGGCAGTCAGTAATAGCCATAGACTGCATTAAGCTAACAAGTGACTGCCTCTCAAATTTCAGGTAGGTGACAACTTTACACAGACAGGAAAAAGTGAAAATAAAACCTCAAATTATTAACTTTGAGTTGTTTAAGTGTGTTTGTTGTGCTTCACTGTAACATAACTTAGCTGGTGAGTTGCTGTAACAGGAGGCCTGTTGTCACAGTTCACACGTGTGTTATATTCAGCTGATATTCTATTTATCAGACATGTTTTTAGTTTCAGATATTCCTGTGAAGCAGGAACAGAAAGACCATGGCTTCACCCTCGGTGCAGTATACCATTGGAGGAGTGAAGATCACCTTCCCCTGCAAGGCGTACCCATCCCAGCTGGCTATGATGAATTCAGTGAGTAACACCATCATCATCTAGTGGTGTAAAGTAACTAGGTACATTGGTGTGCATCCACCTCCCTGCAGCACATACCAGGGTTCCCGCGGGGTCTTAAAAAGTCTTAAATTTGATAATCTGAATTTAAGGCCTTAAAAAGGTCTTAAATATGACCAAAAAAATAAGAAAGGTCTTAAATATGATTTAGAAGGTCTTAAAAATGATCGGATTTGAAAGGTACTTCTGTGTTGCGATCGCGTCTAAAATGTGTTTTGGGGAAAATGTCCGGGCTGCAAAGTAACCAGTACGGTAAGAGCCTTTCAGTTCCCCCCAACAATTTGTATTGAAATAAATCAACATGGAACCAGCAATCACTAACTTTGTTTCCCCCGGCCCCTTATCGGAGAACACCCAGCTAGTAACCTAGCAACCAAGCTTCAGCTAGCGGCAGTCAGAAACTCATGTCTCTTCGAATCTACTTACAAATAAATACGGGGAACTGTAAGTTCAAACCGTATTTGGTTGGAAAACATCTCATTTAGTGCTTGGTTGAAACCAGTGGAGGGGAACGTGTTTGAAGCCCCTCGCACCTTTTGCAAAAGAAAGCGTTTGTTTTGCTAATGTAGCGTTAACTAGTGCAGCGTTAGCTAGTGCAGCAGCTCCCGCAACAACACCGGGGGACCTCAAGGCACCGTTTGGGTCTACGTCAGCCCTAAAAGCGGAGGTGCTGTAGACGCTAAATACCCTAGCTAAACACCAATCATACAACAGCAATGATTAAAGATTTTAGCCAAGGCAGCAGAGCTCTGAATATAGCTCTTGTTACTCTCTCTCTCTCTCTCTCTCTCTCTCACACACACACACACACACACACGCACGCACGCGCACGCACGCACACACACACACACACACAAACACACGCACACTAGGGCTGCTCGATTATGGCAAAAATCATAATCACGATTATATTTGGTCAATAATTGATATCACGATTATTAAATAATTTGAACAGTATCTTTTTAACTGTTGATTACCCTGAATGTATAATTCAACTGAAAAACCAATACTAAATTAAATAACTTACATATTTAAATAAATAATATCAAAATAATAAATACCAATAAACAAGATCAACAAATGTTTTGGAGCTCACTTCCACAAGCTACTAAACATAATGCTGCAGTTCCAGTTCTTGGTACGCATGGTAAAGATTCTTTTTTTCCTTGTGGAAGCAATACAGTCATTTAAAATCAGTATTGTGAGTCAAGTCGTTGGTTTGACTGCCTGGATCCGGATCACCCATTCAAGGTTCGTTTTTCATTACTGAACGTCTCGCTGCATTACCCCTTACTTAGTGCTCACATCTTCCTCTGTCTGCCCTCCTCTCTTCTGTCCACAGAGGAACGTGTGTTCTCCAGTCGGCTTGCTGTCCTACCATCTAACATCACACTTCCTGAGAGTAAGAGTCACACTTACTTAAATCTCAGGACAATTCCAATAAACATTTCTGACTGTATTTCTATCAGCTCCTGCAAAAAAAACAAATGTGCTGTGTGTGTGCTCTCTCCAGGGTGTGTTGAGTGCCAGTGTACGCTGTGGGCGCTCGAGGGAAGAAGTGAACAAAGCCTGGTCTCAGATCAGTGTGCACTGTCCGCTGCTCCTGCTCTCCACAGTGGTACAGTTTGTTCTCCACACAGTTATCACAACTTCATC